AATTACATTTATAATAGCATTTTAAAAAGTAAGTGCTTAGGTAAAATTTAACCAAGGAGGGCAAGACTTGTACACTGAAAACAAAACAAAACAAAACATTGCTGAAAGAAATCAAAGGGCTAAATAAATGGAAAGATATTCTGTGATTGTAGATTGGAAGACTTACTATTGTTAAGACGGCTATCTTCCCCAAACAGATCTACAGATTTAATACACTCTCCACCAAAATCTTAACAGCCTTTTTAGTAGAAATAGAAATATTCATCCTAAAATTCATACGGAATTTCAAGGTATTCCAAATAGCCAAAACAATCCTGAAAAAGAAGAACAAAATTGGAGGTCACACACTTCCTGATTGCAAAACTTACTACAAAGCCACAGTAACCAAAACACTTCCATTGCTCTAAAAAGTTCCTTTATGCCCCCTTGGCAGTGAGTCGTTCTCTATTCCAGCCCCAGGCAACCAATGATTTGCTTTTGTCATAGTTCTGCCTTGTCTAGGATTTCACAGAAATGCAATCATACAGTATGTAGTCATTTCTGTCTAGCTTTGACTTAGCATGATGTTTTGAAGAATCATTCATGCCATTACACATACGAGTAGTTCATTCCTCTCTATTGTTGAATAGTGTTCCATCATATGGATATATTAGAATTTTATCTGTTCACCAGTTGATGGACATTTGGGTTATTTCCAGGTTTGGCTTTTTTGTTGTTGTTGTTTTGTTTTGTTTTCCTTTCTTCTCTACAGTTTCATTCTGCGGTGTCAAGTTCTAGATTTCATTTATCCCATTTGCAACTAATTGGAATTCTTGAATCTGTGGATTGATGATTTTTGCCCGTTGTGAAAAAGTGCCTTTTTGGATATTTCCTCTGCTCTCTTCTCTCTCCCTTTCCCTTCTAGAACTTCATTAGATGCTTGTTAAACCTCTTCCTATCCTCCATGTTTCTAATCTTTCTTCCATATTACCTTTTTGTCTCTCTGTACTGCATTCTGGATAATTTCTTTAGTACTACCTTCCAATACAAATATTTTCTCTTCTTGATCTACCCCTAATATTTCTAGGACCCTGGAAAAAAGTTCAAATGAAAGGACACATACTATAGAGACACATTTAAAAGTCAGAAATCAAACTAACAAAAAATTAAATAAAATATATTCCCTCCTCCTATCTTGACAAAAACCAGGTTTGAATTTAAAATTCTTGGATACCTAGAGCTCTGCCCTATAATATGGTGGCACAGGGAATGCTGACTCCTAACTGCTAACTCTAAACCCCTCTCTTTTTATCCTCAGCTCCATTCCATACTGCAACGGCCATTGAATGTACACACTTAGGCAGCCAACCTACAAATCCAAGTCCCATCATAGTCTTATGAGAGCCATTTCTTGGCCACTCCCTGAGAGTGCAGGCTACCCTCAGGAGGAGAGACCTGGAGAAGAGGTCTCCATAAGGAACCGGAAGCAGGCTTGGGATGATTTGAGGTGGGAATTTCAGGGTCCCTGATGTCAGAAGTATGATCTGTAAGGGGGCATATAGATTTCATATGACTGGCCATATCCTTAGCCATTCAGATTCCTTGGGGCTGGATAAAGGCCAGAGCTGACTCCAAAGTACAGGGCCCAAGATTTGGTATAAGGGTAATACTGCTCTCTTTAGCTATGTTCAACTCATCTCTTGAGTCTTTTATTTTAGTTAGTATATTGTTAATTTCCAGATGATCTAGTTGGTTCTTTTTAAAATCTGTTTTAGTCATATTTTTAATTCTTTTATCTTTTATAATAGTTAACCATATTCATTTTATATCCTGTGTCTGATATTCTAATATCAGAAGTCTTTGTGGGTCTTATTCTGGTATCTGTTGTTTTGGTTGGTTGGCTCTTGCTTTTGGTGCCTCCTTTCTTTGTGTGTTTTGTGAATTTGAGCTCATATTTCTTGAAATTTATCTATGTAGAATTCTTCAAAGTGTTGAATTCTTCAAAGCTTGGAATAAGAGGAACCCCTCCAAAAAGATTCATGTTTGCTTCTCCCAGGCACCTGAGTACATGATAAGTCTGGATAACTTTAAATCACATTTTCAGCCCATGTTTTTATGAACCATCCAGGTACTGAAATTTCAGGTTGAAAAGCCATGTGAGGGCCCACCTGTGATTGCACATTCTCATAAATTTGCCTCCTCATTCCCATCCCATCAGTGTCAAAGTTGCTAGGCATTTATTTCTTCAGGAGTGGGGGTAGATTTCTTACATCAAGGATGTATTTGGAGGTTTCCTTTTGAAATAGCAGTCTAGAGTAGGCCTTGGGCTTTGTCTTTTGTGGTCTCCTGCCTACAAGCTATGAAAATTCACCAAGTTAGGCATATGCCATCTAGATTCCCACCTTCTTTTGTCCTAAGTACTCTTTACTTTCTTGCCAGCTCATTAAAGCAAGAAGGAAGGTATTTTATCCTGCATTTTTAATTCTTTTCAGGAGGAAGGCCAACTGGGGTAGCTAACCTGCTTTACTGTTCTAAAACCTTAACATTTCTCCAGTCTATTTTTCTTAATTCCCACCGTAAATGCATTGGCTCATACACAAGTAGTTTCTGGCTCCATCCAAAAGCCTTCCAACTATATTCCCTGCTTCTAGTCTCTACCCTGCCTCTTCTCTCCATCTCCCATCCCTTCAACCAAGCTATATCAATTAGGGTCTCAGCAAGAAACAGAGTTCACCAGAGTTCAAATAAAGATACTTTGATGAAAGGACCAGTTACAGAAGGGCTGACAGAGGTAAGTGAGCAAATTAGAGTTGATGAGGCACTTGGAGACTAGCTACCGAGGGGATGCTAAGGAGACAAAAGGAGAAAATAAAGTTTCCAGAGCCCAGTGAAAAGTAGAGTCATGAAGGAGGGGCCGCTTGCAAGAGCTGTAGCCAGGAAGGAATGAAGCTACTATTGGAGATATAACATCAAAGGAGGGAAGAAGTAGAGAAGAGAAGTCAAATTTCACCTTCCATCTGCCTTCTGAGAACCTTGCTTAAGCCTTTCATTAGGCAAACCCAACTACAAGGGAGTCATCAAAGAAGCTGATGTCACTCCCCAGAGGCATAAAGCTTGGCAAAGAAGGGTAGGAAATGAGTCTAAGGGCCAAAAATATCATCATATCAGACTTTCTTCAGAACACTTTGAAAGGAGGGGCGTCTGGGTGGCTCAGTTGTTTAAGTGACTGCCTTCGGCTCAGGTCAGAACACTTTGAAAGGTCAATGTCTAATATGCTAAACTTACCATACCATCCTCCTATTTAAAATCTGTCAGTGGATTCACATCATCTTCAGGACTCTAAACTGGGATATGTGACTTTGCCCCTGCTTGTGACTTCATTCCCTTGTTCTTGCCCTAGCCTACAGCCGTTTTGAATTATTTCCAGATTTTCCAGTAGTCCATGCTCTCATATTATGTACATTGGCCACATTCCTTCCTCTTTCTAAGGCAACTTTCCGCATCTTCTTTGCTTGGTTAACTACTATTCAGTCTTTCAAAATCAAAGATTGATCTCTGGAATCACCTCCTTCTGAAAATTTTCTTTTCCAGAGTGTCTCCATCATTTCTCTACTGAATCTCATCATAATATTTAGTTGAACTGAGTGTCCTGATAGAGATATGCATTTTAGCTCTTACATACAGCACTCAGGACCATTCCTGGCACGTGGTAGGCAATCAATAACAAATTTTCAAATTAATAAATGAAAACTAAATATTACAAAAGAAGAAAGAAAACAAAAAGGAGTACTGTGTATGCTGATTAACATAATAAAAACAAGGAGTACAGTTATGGGGCTCTTTGAAATTTTAGGTTATGGGGAAAAGTCTTGAAATTGAAAGAATTTTCTTTCTCAAATTTATTTCTGAGTTATTTATCGTGTATATAGGCAGGGTAAGATAAGGAAGAGACTAGGCACAGGCCTAAGGACTTAGAATTTGAATCCTAAAGGTTAATCCTAGATTTGTGCAATGTCGCTCTAGACTATAAGAAAGACATTGCTTTGGTGTTAGCTTTAATTATTTCCAAATAATGCTTTATTTAAATAAGAAAATTTTAAATGTGTATTGACCCATAAATTTCTGGTAAATTCATATTCCAATAACTTTTCCTTTTTTATATGTTAAAACACCTAACAACTGTGGAAATCATTCTTGCTTGGTCTCAATAGTATAAAATGATTGATTTCAATAGTGTAAAATTCTCTTTTCAAAAATTCTTGAGAGAAAATCAAAATGCTACCTACCACACTGCAACAAAGTACTGGAGAATTATTTGCAATGCTGAAAAACATTTATTTATCAATTTATTTATTCCAATAGTAATCATTTTATTTATAGTCTCAGATGAATATTCCATGTTTACATGATGAAACTAAGGAGAAAATAGGGTAATTAGAAGTTTTTATTGCTGGGGTGCCTGGGTGGCTCAGTTGGTTGGACCACCTGACTCTAGACTTTAGCTCAAATCTTGATCTCACGGTGCTGAGTTCAGGTCCAGCTTTGGGCTCCACGCCTACTTAAAAAAAGTTTTTATTGCTAATTTTCATAACTGTAACACTCCAGCTAAGCAAGTTTACAACTGCACGAGATTACTAGTAAAAATTGAGTAAAGACTTCCAAATCTTTTTCTAATTAAAGACAAATGGTCACATTTCTGACAGAATGGGTTACACTACATTTTCAAAATTTAGTTTTGTATTTTAGCTATTGCCTAAGATGCCACATGAAACCTCTATAAGGCATTTTTTCCCTAAAACTGGTGTATATATCTAAAAAAATGTTCTTCACGTGCAGTGTAATACGTAAGTTCACCACTGGAAAATAAGCCTTCTTAAAATCCGGCCAATGTTGAGTCAAAGATCTTAATATATAACACATACAACATTGTGAGCAGGGACCAACGGACCAGAATACGTTAAAGGGAAGTGCTGGAAGCTTCTCTTTGGAATACTGAAGATAGAGGGCCTTGAAGTGGGAAACCGCAAGCCTAGAAATCACTACACGTCCCAGCATACTTTGCGACTACCATTGACCATAACTCCCAGAATGCATTGCTCGAGGCACGCAGGTTTCCCTTGTAGCTGGGGACTGTAGTTCTCTCTGGTCGTGTCACTCTGTAAGACGAGGGTGGTGTGGTTGCTTACCTAGCCGGAGAACATCAGGCGTATTCTTCCAGTTTTTGGCAAAGTGGAAGCACTTCGGGCCCCTAGGCTGACTGGGTTCTTTGTCTTATCTTTCGGTTTCTACTTTACACAGGTAAGTTACGGAGGGGCGGCAATTCACGCAGCGGGGCCCCACCCCTTCTTTCCGGGAGCGACCTCGTTCTGGTGAAGCTATTTGTCCCTAAGCTCTCGCCGTAGTAGCCGCCGCCCAACCCTCTTTGTGTGCTTCGCGAAGCCGCGGAGCTAGTGGCGGCGACTCTTGGGAGTTGGGAGTGAAGGAGAGGGACGTTACCCGGACGTTGCAAGCGGGCGGACTCTTTTTCCCATCACGCCAGCTGACAGGTGGGTTGACTGTGCTTCCCTCAAGGCTTTTGTGCCTGCTGTGCCTCACGTCCCGGCTCAAAGGGCGGTTTGGCAGTTTCTGCTGACAGCGCTGCCCGGCCCGGCTCCTGAAGGGGAGAGGCGGGGAGAGCCGGGTGCGGTGACTCAGGAAAGCCGGGGGAGACGAGACCACTCGCTCCCCTTCTTGACCCACCGGAGGATGGCCCGCGGAGCCTCGAGGCTTGCTCGGCGCCCTGTGGCCCCCCTCTCCCAGACGCCCTATGCTGGACCGCGCCCTCTTAGTGGTGACCTCAGAGGAAAATGCCTCTTTTTCGCCTTGCTCCATTTTATAAATGAAAGTCATTCCTACATGGCGTTGACAGCGTCTTCCCTCCCCGTGTATGTTGGAAAGTACCCGAACGTGGAGGCTGTAGCATAAAATGACAGAGGCTTTCTCTTCCTTGTAGTTTTGAGAAAGTGAACTTGTCAGTCACGGAGCTTCCGGCCTGGGAGGATGAGCCGGTCAGACTTTGCTGTTGGGCTTTGACTAAAAGTATACTTACTTTAAATATATTTGATAGTTAATGATGGTAAATTTTGTGTTTTACTTGTCCTGAATATTATTACTATTACACATCATTTACGGGAATTTTGTCTGACGGCATATTTTTTTAATTTCTAGGGATGAATGCAAAGCTCTGGTAATAGATTTGATCTGTGTCATATAGCCTAAGAGCTCTTTAATGCCAACCCATGTCCTCTGTTTTAAGAGTCAGAGACATTGTGTTAAATCTGGGCATGTGAACATTAAAGAGCTTACTGTGTGCCAGCTACTTTGTTCAACTCTGAATATTTATATACATTTCTTTATAATGTTATTCAAGTCTTAGTAATATATTATGCTTCCATATTTAAAAAGTAGAGTTTATATGTTGTCTTTTTTTTTTTTTAAGATTTTATTTATTTATTTGACAGAGAGAGACACAGCGAGAGAGGGAACACAAGCAGGGGGAGTGGGAGAGGGAGAAGCAGGCTCCTCGCAGAGCAGGGAGCCCGATGTGGGGCTTGATCCCAGAATCCTGGGATCATGACCTGAGCCGAAGGCAGACGCTTAACGACTGAGCCACCCAGGCGCTCCCAAAATCATTTTTTTTTTTTAAGATTTTATTTATTTATTTGACAGAGACAGACACAGCGAAAGAGGGAACACAAGCAGGGGGAGTGGGAGAGGGAGAAGCAGGCTTCCCGCGGAGCAGGGAGCCCGATGCGGGGCTCGATCCCAGGACCCTGGGATCATGACCTGAGCTGAAGGCAGTCGCTCAACCGACTGAGCCACTCAAGCGCCCTATATGTTGTCTTTCGATAGCAGTGAACTACAGGCTTCTTGAGATAATTCTCTTCTTGAAGACTAATTTTTTTAAAAGAGCGCTACTTTTACCAACCTAATGATGATTGTAAATGATTGTATGTTTTTTAAGGTCACAAACATGTCGGACAAAAGTGAATTAAAGGCAGAGTTGGAACGAAAGAAGCAGCGGTTGGCCCAAATTAGAGAGGAAAAGAAGAGAAAAGAAGAAGAAAGGAAGAAAAAGGAAGTATGTTTTATTTTTTTAAGTAAACCATGTAAAATAATTGGGTTTAATATCAAATACTTATACCTTTATGTAATACTTTCAGAATAGTTAAAAATCCAGCAGTTGTGACTGCAAATATAGCACTGTAGGTGAATTTTACTTTAAAGAAACCAGGTATGTGAAAATGACAAAATTGATAAATTAAAATATTTTTGTTACTGAATAAAAATATTTCATATAGATGATGCATTTTGAGGATTTGGTTTATAAAAGTTCAATTTACATATTTCTCCTCTAGGCATATGTTTATTATGTAAAGTAAGGGACATCTGCCTTGTAATAGCTCATAAAACGGCATATATATCATAACTTAGTTTGGAATTTGAATTTACTTATCTGAATGTTTTGCTAGCCTACACTGCTAACAGTTTGTCAGAGTAAATAATAGAAAAGAGAAATATATAATAGATTATTTAAGTGATTAGAGAATTTATCTCTTTCATCATGAAATATTTTCCTTGAAATATTTTTGCCAAGCAGTAGGTTTGATATTACCTTAAAGATAGACCAGATAGGTATGTCTTCTGATTTTTCACACCACCATTTCATCATGTATGGCAAATATACATTGACCCTGAGCTGGAGATATTTTACTTGTTCCTGTATTGATATGTACATTTTTCCCAACTATTTGGACAGATATGTATACTTTTACCACAGATATGTTTTAAATGGTCAGTGTAAGATAATGTTTCCTAAGTGTTACATTAGTACCGAGGTTTCTGTTTGCTAGAGACTTCTAGAAATCTCTTAAGGGAAAAGAAAAATCAGAAAAAATTGAATCACAGACCTGTACCCCTGAAACAAATAATACATTATATGTTAATTTAAAAAAAAAGAAAAATTGAAAGTACAATTTTTGTATAGCATTGCTATGATGCTGTAAAGGCCTTTGAAGAATTTTCTAATTTATTCTGAACCTTTCTGTGATACATTATTGTAAGACCGTTGGAGGTTTAAGTTAGCTGTTTGATTAAAAGTTAACTGATAGAAACATGAGTCTGATAGGCAGAGCCATTCCAAAGTAGTATCTATAGCCTTAAACCCTTCAGTACTGAGAGCATATTTGATTTTTGTTTTCTAAGGATGGCCGTAAGTGGCGTAAATAGCCTAGGGATATCTACTACATGATTTACAGCTAATTTAAAAGTTATAAAACATTGCAAGAGATAATTTAATAGTACTAAACAATGAGTCTACTAATACATTGCTATATAATACAGGTAAAGTGTCAACTTGATAATATAGCCTGTTTGGCTATTTTGATGAAGTTCACGGATGACTTTTTTTTAAATGGTATCATAGAATATTATGATTGACAAAATTCACTACAGATAATTGTGTGAGTAATAGTTGTCTAGGCAAAACAGGGCATCTGAGCCTTTTTTTTTTTTTTTTTTTTTATTCTTATGTTAATCCCCATACATTACAACATTAGTTTTAAATGAAGTGTTCCATGTGAGCCTATTTTGTATATATAAAACTTTTTCTTTGAAGGCTTAAATTTCATTTGAGATGTTTTGGATGATCTGAGGTTATTGAGGCTTATCTGGTTTACCTGGGAGATTTTGCTAAAACTATAGGTGACTGAAATAAAAGCTGGCAATAATTTTGATAACAAATGTTTTGTGTTGTGCGAAAGTGAATTTTAACTGTACCAAATTCAACCATGTTTTTATTATCATAAAAGTAAGACCTATAATTTAAAAACAAAAATAAAAACCTTTCTTCAGATGAATTTTTGACAAACATCCTCTACATAAAACTGCAAAATACAATGAAGACTTCATACAGAAGTTTGAGGTATTCATACTTGATTTTCAACAAATCACATTGTCCATTTACTTAAAATTTGTTACCTGTTAAATAATTTTTTTATAGTGTTGTGATACTTGTATCTAAGCTTTTGTGCCACTGGGGGAGGTTTCCACAATTCCTAACTGTGGATAGCAATTTCATACTGTAGATAAATAGAAGTTGACTATACTTTTTGAATTTATCTATTAGGTAAAAACTTTTGTGGGAACTCCTTGATTACATATCATTTGGCGATTACTTACTAGAACTCTATTGAGAATGGTTTTCACTTAATGAGTATAATGTGTGTTCAAATCTAAGTCACCACCCCCCCCAGAGTAAACAGTGTTAGCACACATTATTTAAAATACACTTTTTTGGCAAGCAGAAATGTTTCATATCCTATGTAAATTTAAATTTTTAACTTTAAAAATAGACTGATCAGAAGAAGGAAGCAGTTGCGCCTGTGCAAGAAGAATCAGATCTTGAAAAAAAAAGAAGAGAAGCTGAAGCATTGCTTCAAAGCATGGGGCTAACTCCAGATTCCCCCATTGGTAAGGATAAGAATATATCCATTTATAAGAGCCAAGAATAGATGCTATTCAGCTCAGACATATCTGAGATGAATGTGTTGACTTTAATATATTCTGCATATTTTTCTTATTTGTGTCTCTTAAAAATGATTAATCTTATACTTAAAATTATCTTTTTTCACATGTGCCAATACATGGTTATTTTGTTTGTTTAAGAGAGCTGCAAGATTATGTGTACTTATTAACATACACTGAACAACCAATTGACTTTTCTTGTTAAATCGGTAATTTTATTTCAACATTTGTTGAACAAGTTTTCTGTGCCATACTGTATTTAGCTAAAGATGACTGATTCCTGATCTTAACTCTATATTTTTTTCTGTAGGTTAAAGAGAGGTATAATGAATCAAAGTTCTAGAAGTATATTAGTTTCAAAGGTATAGGAGTGGAAGGAAAAAATAGCCTTCTGCTCTCACTGCTAATAACGGAAATAATATTGGTAGCCTATTTTGACAGCAATTTGACTTGTTCTTTTTTGGTCCATTCATTTTGATAACAGTACTAAACCAAAAAGCTGAAATAGTAGAGGTACTGAAGACAGTCTAGTTACATGTCAGAAAGCATTAAACACTTGCTTAAAATAATTCTGACCTGGATGTTGTTACATAGTATTTTAATTTGACATGGCCTTTGTCATTTAGGCTAATTCCATCTGGTTCAGGGGACAAATACCAGAAGTAGAAACTGCTGTTTGCCTGTTGTGAACTACAACATGACTATTTCTAGAGCTGATATTTCTAAAAGGTTTCAAGATGAAAAAGCTGGTTACTCTCATGGTCTGCTTCATTGTTATTTCTTTCACCTCATTTGCCTTTTCCCTAATGGTAGAATTTGAAGACTGAAATATATTTGTATGTCTTTATTTAATAAGTTTACATTCATATTACAATTTTAAAAGTAAATGCATCAGAACAGTATTGTTAATAAAATAGTAACTAAACTAAGTTGCTTATTAGTTGTATAGTCTTTGATCAGTTTTTCTGTCATTGGCTTTGTTTTCCTCCAATAGGAATTTTTTTTCCTTTTCTATTTTTAGGATTTCAGTTTCACTGAATTCACATGTTCATATTTCTGAGTCCATGGCCCTCCTCCATTATCGAGTCTTGAAAGACTGTTCTTCAGGGGGGGTGGGTGTGAGTGTGTATGTTTCTCCCTCATTCCCCATCTCCAGTTCCATTCCACTTCCCAGTCTTGCATTAAGCCCCGTTCTTGCATTTTTAACATATGTCCTTTTGATCTGTCCTACATGTGTTTACGTATTTCAAGGTTTCATATATATATGTGCATATACGTTTTATACACATAAAAGACATTGTGTTATATGTATCATTCTGTTTGTATCTTTTTGTCAAGCAGCATTTGAGACCTGCCCATGTTGCTGAATACAGATCTAGTTACTTATTTTTGACTGATGCATAATATTCCATTATATACCATATTTTACTTATCTGTTCCCCAAATGATAGGCATTTAGATTGCTTCCATCTCTTTGCTATCACAATCATCACTGCAAAGAATATATACTTTCCCTTTGAGAACTGTGGAAGAGTTTCTCTGGGGTGTATGCCTAAGAATTGACTTGCTGTGTTATTGTGTATAAGCTTACTTACATTTATTAGATTCTATGTACCGCTCTCAAGAATGACTACAAGTCTACCCTCTCAATGCCAGTGGTGAGAAAGTAACTATTTTACCATATCCACATCATCACCTAATTTTCTCCAACTTTCCAATTTTTGCCAACTTGATGGGTATAAAGTGGTATACCAAAATGTTTTAATATAAATTTATCTGTTTACAGTGAGGTTGACCATTTCTCAAATATCTATTATTTTCTCTTCTATGAATTGCATATTCATATCTGTAGCCCATTTACAGTTAGAGTTTTTTATCTTGCTGTAGGATTCCTTGTATATTTTAGAGGAGGACTTCTTTGTTTTAGTTTTTTAAAAAAAAAAAACCTTCTCCCGGTCTATTACCTGTTATATAGTATCTTTCACTGAACCTAATTCTTCATTTTAATATGTTCAAATCCTTCATTTTGATAATAGTCAGGCCTGCCAATTATAACCCTTTTTTGTGCTTTTTGGTCTTTTTTTTTTTTTCTTTTAAGAAATCCTTTCTTTGAAGACACAATATTATATTTTCCTACATTTTTTCTGTTAGGCTTTATAGTTTCAGCCTTCACCTTTAGACGTTTGGGTTATATTTTTGAATGTAGCATAAGGTAGGGATCCAGTCTAGTTTTTCTCCATATAGTTAGCTAATTTTCTTAGTACTGTTTATTAAATAGTCCATCCTTTCCCTCACTGATACTGATGCCAACTTTGTCATAGAGTTTCCATATATTCATGACATTTCTGGGCTCTGTATTTTCACTGTTATCTAATTTGTTTGATTCTATATTATTAAACCACAGTTTCAATTACTATGACTTTGTATTCTATGTAATTTTCTTGTACGGTCCACATTCATTGGCCATAATGGTTATACTTTTAAAATAAATTGGACAGCTTTCCCTTTTGATATTTTGTAGAACAGCTTGTAAAGAGTAGATGTTACCTGTTTCTTTAAAACTTGGTAGAATTCAACTGTAAAACTGCCTGGGATTACAACTTTTTTTTTCCAGGGGATAGTTGAGAACGGAGGTTATTCACCATTTCAAGTCTCTTTTTAAGGTTATAGTCTATTCAAGTTTTCTATTTATTTTTGTATTGGTTTGATTTTTTTAAAACAATAATAAATATTTATTATCTCTCATAGTTTCTGCCTATCAGGAATTTGGTAGTGGCTTAGCTGAGTGGTTGTGGCTCAGGGTGTCTCATGGCATTGAAGTGAAGATGTCTGAAGGCTTGCCTGCTGCTAGGATTTGCTTTCAAGGTGCCTCACTCACATAGCTGGCAAGTTGGTGTTGGTTGTTGTTGGTGGAAGGCCTGAGTTCCTATCCACATGGGCCACTCCACAGAACTGCTGGAGTATCCTTGCAGAATGTCAGGTTCTTCAGAGTGAGCAATCCAAAGATAAAGACAGCTGGGAAAAAGCTACTATTTTTATGACTTACTCTTGGGAGTCATCAGTTCCACTACATTCTTCTGTTGATTGGAATTCACAAAGAATTTGGACATTCTTTAAAACTGCCAAAATATTTGCAACAAATTCATAGGTCTCTTCATATTTTGAGATGATCATATGCTTTTTTTTCTTTTAATGTATTAATTTGATGATTTATAATGATAGCTTTTCTAATGTAAAAGCATCTTACATTCTGGAATAAACAATTTAGTTATGAGATGATTTTTTTCTTATGCATTGCTGAATTCATTTGCAAGTATTTTGTTTAGGAGTTCTTCATCTATACTCATAAGAGAATCATGCCTATAATTTTTTTCCTTTTATTATATCTTGTCTGGCAATTATAATAGATATAGTGGTTATAGTAGCCATATTAAAGGGGTTGTGTGGTTTTCACCTTCTTCTATTCCCTGACAGATTCCTAAAGATCTTTCCAGTATTTTTTTTTTAAATTAGGCTTGAAGAATACAGGATACAGATGAAGGCAGTGTCTACCAAACTTTCTTGACAGTAACCCAAAATAAAAAATACATTTTATATCATGACCCAGGATGGATACTTGTTTTTCTTTTCACTACAGAATGTTTTTAGTAAATATTTTTAAATTATAGAAGTGTAAAAATACTGCTAGAATATTCAAGAGGATTTATTAAAAACATCAATCTCTTCTTTTCCTAAAACAGACTTTTTTCTTTTTTTTGATTCTGAAAAGAATATTTTTTAAAAAAGATATAGCTAATAAAATCTCTTTTAGCTTCTCATCATTGGTAGATTCTTATATATTTGGTAATTGCTTTTTGTCAGAGATCCTTGAGAGCAGAGAAAAGCACATTTTTATCCCTGGTGTCCAGCACAGACTAGACACTTAAATGTTTGTTCAATTATTATTAGGTCGTATATCTTTCTACCTTGTAAGGCCAAATAAAAGCGATCTGCTTTAAAGCAAAACCAAAATCTGGTTGTTTAAATTTCAGAAAAAAACATAGTGGAAATTGAAATTTGAACATTTGAACATTTCATAAAAGAAGCATGGCTTTTTTTTTTTTTAAACTAAGTGGCCAGTCTTAAGAAAGTTAAATTTAGGTACAACTTTCAAGACATGTTATATCCAATGTGGAGTTCTTAAGCATTGATGATTGAAAAAAATAAAGTGAATCTCTTTTGTATGTATAACTACTGTTTTAAACATCTTGTAAAGAGATGAAAACAGACACTGTCAAGTACTCTGTAGCCTGAGTCTGTATCAGTAGGGCACAGAACATTGATTAGTATGACAGTTTATTATCTGGATTTTCTCTTACTAGGAAAAAACAAAAGAACTTTGCTAGTCAAAAATGAGTATTGCTTCATTTATTTCCCTCACACTCCTTGTAACTTTTGAATACCTTAAATCTCATTTTTTCCCAGTTTTATTGAGAAATAATTGACATATATCACTATATAAGTTTAAGGTATGTTGTTTTTATTTACGTATATTGTAAAATAAATACAATAGGTTTAGTTAACATTCATCATCTTACAGTATACTAAGCAGGAAAAAAAATTTCTTCTTCTGATGACAACTTTTAACAATTTTCGTATGTATCATATAACAGTGTTAACTATAGTCTTCATGTATGTTATATACCTAGTACTTATTTATCTTATAACTGGTAAATCTGATTTTTAGATGGAATGAATGCTTCCCATGCACCAAGTCATTTCTTCAAGTTTAGCCTAATTTTAACAAATTGTTCATTATAGTATTTTAATACCACAGAATTTTATTTTTATTTATTAATTTCTTTTAAAAAATTTATCTGATGCTCTGAATTACATTGAAGAGAATAAAGGAAACGAAACATTTAGAGATTAGTGGAGGATATTTAAACTTCATTATCAGGAGAAAGAGGCCATCGAAGGGGAGAAATTAATATTTAAGAGAGTTAAGGTTTAAAGCAGTACCTTTCAGGACAAAAAGAGGAAGTTATGAAAAAGTTATTTAAATGTTGTTATTCCAGGCTAAGAGTATCCCCAAGGGGGCATTATTGTAGTGTGGGCTATGTTTGAGTATTAAGTATCCTAGATTAGCTAGAGGAGGCTTTACAACTTTGGGTTAGCTCAGAAGCTCACTCCTTCCATTTTACTGTCTCTACCAGCTTCTGCTCCCTACATTCACCTTCCTTGGCTGTTGACCTTTTCTAGGTTCTTCTTCCTGGCAAAAGCCCCTTCTTGCCAGAGGCTTTCTTCTTACTTGAAAAATAATTGGACTGTGCATCATCCTTCATCTCTAAGACGTTTGTGTAGTTCTGAGTGGTCAACTCAAACTTAATTTTAATCATAAATCTAGGTGGATTCCTAGGTGCTTTCTGGTTTAAAAATATTCTAGGTGTTCCTTTGCAGACCAAAAGGCAGCAATGTTGATTTTATATCCTTGGAAGGCCAAGATCTAAGCTGGCAGGAAAGGCCTTCTTGATTGGGTTTTTGTTCTAGATAATTAAAGAGTCACAGTCTTTCAATATTACTTACGTGATCAGTGAATGCCATGGTGTAGATTTTTCAATTTACTCCATGTTTCTCGTCTCATTCTCAAAGAAGGAAATAAGTATCTTTGCTCTAAACTTCTAATAAGTTTAAATTCATTCAAATATTCACATGTGTTAACGTTAAATCTTTTATTTTGTGCCTTTCCTTGTTTTAGGCTATTTTATAGATATAAATATATATAAAATGATACATATTTTTATATATATGTAACTGGAATAAAAGTAATGTGATTGAGTCACTGTTCTTATTAAGCTGATTATATCTGAAGATACTTGGCAAAAGCTAATTAGTAGTGGCTTTTGTTATTTTCAAAGCTGTTTGGACTCTAAAATCATCTTTACAAATGAATTCTAAAATTGAGTCTTTTTGAGATTTGGGGGACTATGAGTTCAGAGGTTTTTTTAACCTCCCTGAATGCATGCTGTTTGTTCTTGGACTTGTTTGTTGAATCTGGGAGTATGGTGGCATTGCCTTATTGTGCAATTATGGTAATCTTTGATTTTTCTAGACTAATTAGGTTGAAATATGGTAGTGACCAAACAATACTACCATTCCCTTTTTTTCTGTTAATATTACTCCTTTTTCAATAATGGTAATTTTCTTTTTCTAGGTTTGTCTCTTCTGTAGTATACATTATTTATGATTGCAAGATGAAGTGGGTTAGCCAGATAATAACTTTGAGTCTTTAATGAGTCCTTTCTCTAAACTGGCTTGAAAACTATCTTTTGTGAGAAATGATACAGTTCTGGGATGGAGATTTTTACTGAATTACAAATGTGATGCCATGGTGATTAACCTTGCTTCTGGCTGACAAACTATGATAATTTGGTAGCATCACCCCTGTAATTTATTTTTTATCTTGGGAACTTTTATTTCTGACACTTTTATTGGCTAGGTTAGTGTATTTATGTACATATAATTGCTGTTTAATCTGTTTCCATAAAGAATTTGAGGTAACATTTTTTTATAAAGTAGTTTTAACCAAGTAAGATACTATTTATTCTTGCATCAGTTGGGACTTAGTCTAGAGAAAGCCTCACATTGAGAAACAGACAAAAAGATGAGGAATATAGCCTAAAGGAAGTTAGGGGACATTAATGTTCTTTTATTTTAGATACAAATCATAATTAGCTACTTTGAGTTGTACACGCAGCACCTAGCACAGTGCCATCCACCTGTGAACTATGTGAAGGTGATCTGGTTTTATCATTGTTTCTGAGAGATGTAGTCACAAAATTAGAACATTCAATTAAGTTTTTATAGTCCTTTAGAACTTAAGCAAGAATTACTCACTGTATCTCAGGAAACATTCTAGTTATGATTTTTTTTCTTCTAATCTTACTATTGGTTACCAATAGAATTTGCCATTGGAAAAATAAGGATCATTAGTTTTGTACCTATGTTTAAGATGTAATTCATCATGGGGCACCTGGCTAGCTCAGTCAGTACAGCATGTGACTCGGGGTTGTGAGTTCACGCCTCACGTTGAGTGTAGAGTTTACATTACCAAGAAAAAAGAAAAGGCAAAAGATGTAACTCATCATACTATACTTGTACATTTTGTTAGATTAGCAAACCTACCTTTTTTATTGTATCATGTATAAACATTTAAATATAATTTTAAGGGTTCAATGAATGTGACTGTCCCCAAACCATAGATTTTTAATTAAATACATAGTTCTTTAGATTAGTTCATTTATAATTAGGAACTTACCTTCTTTTCAGTAGACTATTAAAAGAAGGGCGTGCAGCTCAACATAAAATGTGTTAGTTACTTAATATTATATACTGAAAAATTATTTTACAAAGATACTTGGGATTGGGGACATTTATGGTAAAATTTAACCAGAAGATGGCAGTGATGATCCTCCTATACTCCTGCAATGGTAATCAAAATGTTTTACAAATGTAATAGCATGAAATGTGCACGTTCAACTGTTGATATATAATGTTAAGAGTGATGATTTAGGGGAAAGCATTTGCTGTTTGTTTTATATACTATGAAAAATGTGTATTTTTCTATAAGAAGGGATTAAGAATATTTTGGGTGTCTGTATCTTTGTCTGTACACTTCAGTTTTTTCTGAATACTGGGGTAAGGAAGTTATCATAAGTCTTGCCTTGTTTAAGTTGCATGCATCATTTTATGTTATGCATCATGTCTAGAAGGCATGCTGTTTTATGGCCTGTTTGCATTTTTCACCCAAATTGCTGGAAACTAATGGACATTTTAAAGGAGCCATTCCTTTAGCTGTGGTCATTTTCTCTAAATTGGCCGAGGGGAAAATGAAATCATTTAAGGCATTAATTTCTGAAATAAAAATTGTTAGACAAAAATTAACATTTTAAAATAAATCTCAGAAAACCAAGGGTAAATGACTTTTGAAGGATATTTCAGAGTTTTTATTTTTAACAAGTAATATTTATAATCTGGTGATCTTAAAAGTGAGAAGTTAGAAAGGTGGGGGGAAGGAATGCTCTCCTTTGAAAATAAGTACCCATATTTGGTGTTGGCTGGGATGAAGATGCATCTTTTCATAATCTTGCTTTTTTTTTAATATAAAACCCAAATGCATTTTGCCAGAGAAATTGCATGAGTCTTCAGCATGCATTGTTAACTTTGTCTTTCTCCTCTTCTTTCTACTATTCATTTTCATTCATGTATTTTTGTTTTTTGGTTTGCCATTTTTTCTTTTTTGTTAATTACTTCATGTTAAATTACTTTTGAAACGTCATAAGCTGAGCAACCTCTCCGTGTAGTAACAGCGGATACCTGTCTATTTCACTATTTAGTCCCTCCTCCTATGTCTCCATCCTCCAAATCTGTGAGCACACCAAGTGAAGCTGGAAGCCAAGACTCTGGAGATGGCGCAGTGGGATCTAGGTACAGTAAATTTCTTTTAAAAGTTTAATGATAGAATGTATTTAGTGCCTACATGCTGTTGATGCTTTAGAGGAACTCTAAATAGTTATGTTAAAATTAACATTTTAAAATCTAAGTGGCATAGAAATTATTTGTTTTAAATTGGGGGAATTTTTTTAATAGAATTATAACTGTCCCTCTTGATTAATTTAGACTCAATAGTTAACTGATTTCACACTAATTATTTTATATTAAAATAAAGAGATTAATTTTTTCTCTTTAAGCATACTTCACAGGTTATTGTGTAAATGTTCTGTATGTATAATATAATATAAACAATGTAAGTAGTGTGTAAATAGTGTATGATAGTATAAAATAGTATAAATATAGTATAAAATAGTTTATAAATAATGTAAAACCTCTGTTGTGCTTAATTGTCCATTCAGTAATTGAAAATCTAAACAATTCAGGTAAGCACTTCAATTGTGTTCTATTGAGTCACTAGTTCTAATTAAAATAGAAAATAAAATATCAAATAGAGATAACTGCTAAGGAAATAGGAATGTTTACTGTCTTGAGGGCATTATGCTAAATGAAATAAGTCAGAGAAAGACAAATACTGAATTATGTCACTTATGTGTGGAATGTAAAAAAAAATACCCCAAAACCCAAAGAAATCCAAGCTCATAGATACAGAGAACAGATTGGTGGTTGCCAGAGGTGGGGGATAGGGAATGGTCAAAATGGGTGAAGAGTTTCAAAAGGTACAAACTTCTAGTTGTAAAATAAGTAAGTCCTGGGGATGTAATATGTACAGCATGGCAACTACAGTTGATAATACTATATTGCATATTTGAAGATTGCTGAGAGAGTAGATCTTAAAAGTTCTTATCACAAGAAAAAAATACGTTTGTTAACTGTATATGCTGACACATGTTAACTAGAATTGTGGTGATCATTTCACAGTATATACAAATATCAAATCATTATTTTGTACACCTGAAAGTAATATAGTGTTATATGTTAATTATACCTCATTTAAAAAAAAATGTTTTCTGCCTAGTTTTCCCATACTCATGTCTTCCTTGTAAAACTATATTTCATATTTGTTTTAGGATCCTGTACACATGTTGGGATTTGCTCTCCAAAAGTTCAGTAAGATTTCAGCCTCTCTCCAAAGATTGTCTTGGGGAAAGTACTTTTACTTATTCCTCTTTGTCACACACACACACACACACAATAACAGCAAGTCTTTTAAAAACAGCATCATACTGTTTGACTCCTTGTGTCAGCTGAAATGAGATTAAACATAGTTAAAGTCTTTATTCAGAATCCTTATTTTGGGCAGGAAGTTAAATGTCTTCCTCAGAAAAATATCTTAACATCTTAGCATACCTCTTAATAAGAAATAAACTTGAGAAGTCTCATCTTCTTTGTGCCTAAGTTCCTCTGATTGAAGTTATAAATAAGTAATGAGTATCTAAAAGACAGGCAAGAAAAAAGCAAGGAAGGTATATAATAAACTCAATATTTTAATCAATTCCTGAATAATCAGGTTATCATTAACAATTAGAAGACAAAAAAGTCTCACCAGTTTGGATTTGAGATGTGTTTTCCAAAACTGTTTTATAAATAGAACCAAAATTGCAAATCTAAGCTGTACTGTCATTGGAAGTAAATAATAAAACCATCATTTAAGAAAAATCAAAACTTTTTTTTTAGAAATAATAGTACCTTATCAAATAGTATATATTCTAGATTAAAGGCTAAATTTATTTAGTCTGAACTCATTTTTAAGACTAAATTTATTTCATACTTCATGCTTTATTTTTGTACAAATATGTTAATATTCCTCTGCTAATAAGCAAGTGGTGTTTTCAAGAAAAGGCTTTTTTTCCCCTTCTACAGCTTTACTGTAGTACAAATAATTACCCAAACAAAGAATTATTATATTTATTAAATTTATTTGTATTATAAATTATTTTTATGTAGATATTGTGCTGTGTTCATTTTGAACTCTGTGTTCTTGATTTTGAGTAGTAGAAAGATTATTTTAAATGTTGCATCAGCAAGTTTGCTTTCAAAACTATGTAACATCTACTTGACTTTGTTCTTTTTTTTTTAAGATTATTTATTTGAGAGAGAGAAAGAGGGAGAGAGGGAGTGCAAGTGGGGGGGAAGGGTCAGAGGGAGAGTGCAGAGCCCTGTCATGAGGCTTGATCCCATGACACCTGAGATCATGACCTGAGCCAAAACCAATAGTTGGATGCCCAACCAACTCAGCCATCCAGGCACTCCCATCTACCTGGTTTTTGAAATTAATGTGAATTAGAACATGTCCTTCTGAGTTTCATTGGGAAGCCTAGAGTTTATTAGAGACCCATTGGAATATTGTGAATTGGTACAGGGAGTAAATACTGTTAAGAAAAATATTTATTTGTATGTAGAACACATATTCATCAAATTGCCAATTTAATGTTAAATACTATATAGATTACCACAGAAAATGAAATATTCATGTCCCTGTCTTAATGGAACTTATATTCTAGTGATTACATCATTAACTTAAAGATATTATTCACTGTACTGAAAAGTTCCAAGCTAACTTGTGTTTAAGTTTAAAGTATAAATTTTTAATGATAAGTTATAAAACAAGAAAACAGGTACTTAAATGATCTTCAGGGGTTTGTTCTTATTAGAGAATGAATGTAAAATTTAGTTTCTTCTAGTTTAACAGGAGAGCAAAAAATACTCCTCTTTTTGAATGAGATGACCTTGTATCTTTTCAATCTTACTACATACATTGTCTCCTTTGAGAGCAGACTTGGTTTTAATCATTAATTTTCAAGAAGGCTGCATATGTTCTTTTTTGTGTATATATGTATACAAACAAGAGTAAAAACTGAGTTCTACTACATCATCTCCAGATTGCATAGTAGAGAGATAATTAATCTTGTTGATTAATTGGTGCTATTGGCAGTGAAATAATAGCATTTCTAAATATATGGCTTTTGAAAAGTATACTAAGATCTGAGAATGAAACTGAATGAACTTGAATTGAGCAGGCATGTTTGTAATGAAAGAATGAAGAGAATATGAAGAAATATCACAGGAAAATACATGAAGATGTGTGGGATGTATGAACCTACACACTCAACTCTGTTAACTGGGCAAGACAGTCCAAGATTAGTACACTCAAGGAGTAAGAAAAGATATATTAGACATTACCAAATATGGTATCAAGACATATCTGAATGCCAAAAATTTCTATTGGGCCTGGTTGTAATTTATGAATAAATGTTAAAAGGCCATGAAAAGTGATATCTCTCTAACTCTGCAGATTTCGAGTTGAATTTCATTAAGTTTCTAGTTCTCTTTCTCAGTCACTTCTGTTATCTCTACAATTTAGCTGACAGTTTCTCAATTAGGTAATCCATGTTTCTTCCTTTTCCCATTCTTGATCAGTTTATCTCTCAGGCTTTTGGATTATACTGGAATTTTACTTTATGTGTCTGCTGATGCCTTTAATAAACATAATTCTGTATGTTGTGCAATTTATTTTCAGTACTGGCTATATTTTTAGGTAAAGTTTTGCTTAATTTTTTTTTAAGATTTTATTTATTTATTTATTTATTTATTTATTTGACAGTAAGAGAGAGACAGTGAGAGGGGGAACACAGGCAGGGGGAGTGGGAAAGGGAGAAGCAGGCTTCCTGCCAAGCAGGGAGCCCGATGCGGGCCCGATCCCAGGAATCCTGCGATCATGACCTGAGCTGAAGGCAGACGCTTAACAACTGAGCCACCCAGGAGCCCCTGCTTAATTTTAGGCTTAAATGACATCCTCAACAAGGAGCTGTAGGTCACTGATAACAGCTGTACCTCTCATATAATGTAAAGGCTGGGGACAGAACATTCGTTGGAGAGCACCTAATAGAACCCCTTCTGATTTAACAAAGCCTAAGTTTGTTGCTGTTCATTGCTTAGTACAAAGTAGATCTTCAAAGTGACCTTTTCTTTGCATACACACAATCCTGTTTAAATCCCCAAGTCTTTCTTTATATTTTTAATATGAAGAATTTGTCTAGTTCAATTCATCTGAGTGTTTTTATTGATAAATTATATAGACAGCTAAAATATAGAAATCATTTGTTGTATTTAAATATTGTAGCTGTTTTAGTTGTTTGTTATGACTTATGTGAGTATATATATAACCAAAAATAGTAGTACTGAATATATTGTGCTTAACTTTTTAATAGAAACTATGAGTATCATACAGTACATAATTATCTTATATACTGCTACCTTGTAAGCATGCCCATGTGATAAAGTACCTTTTGTTCTAGTCATAGAAGATTTGGCTTAAGTGGAAGAGATCCTATGTAAGTTATTTACCCAGTAGGCAAGGCTAAAACACAACCAAATATTTATTTAGAATTGATACTCTCTAGAAGTTTAGTTAATTTAGTTAAGTCCTTTGAACATAAAATATTTTTCCTGGGAAAATTTATTTTTTCCTAGAGACAGAAATCTTTAGTTGTTTTCTAAAGCAGATGACATGTAAGCCCAAGGCAGTGCTTAACCCATAAATTACATAGGGGTCACATTTTGGAAACTTTAGCTTTTTTGAATCCCAGTGGAATAGTCTTTGGTTTTCTTACCGAAAGGCTTATGTGTTGATTCGTTTTCTTTACCAATATGACAATTTACTGCACACATTTAGTGCTTTGCGCAAGATTATAATATGTTAACTAAGATGTTTTTACTAATGCTTTTTTAATTAAGAAAATTAAAATTTTAGCTATTTTTATAGCCTAGCTTGTTATCCAAAAATAATATATTATTTGTGTTGTTGGATGCTTTGGCTGTTCTTGTCCATTATTAGGCAATATTAGTTTCCTGTAATCTGAAAATACTGTCTTAACTAATCTGGGTTGTATGTTTGCATCTTTAACCACCTTCTGCTTATGACATGCACGAGAGCATTGAATGATACCTGGTGTTTTTTTTCTACTAACCAGAACATGCGGTTTTTAATTGTGAACAGTATTTTAGCTTTACCTATTCATAGAATGTATTTGCTTGACTAACTTATGGCCTTTTTTGCTAACGCTTCATGGTTGTCCTACAACCATTTAGGACGCTGCATTGGGATACAGATCCATCAGTTCTTCAGCTTCACTCAGATTCCGATTTGGGGTATTGAATAGATTTTTTACCTTCCCTCTTTTATAATTAATTTGATTCTTTGTGAAATTGTCCTAATTTTATTTAAGTTTCTAATGTACATTATACAGTTAGGAAAAGGAAAAGAGTTAATATTTTACTGTGACACCTCATTTATCCTCTATCATTAGTGAAAGAAATATTTTATGTATCTGATTTTCTAGGTTCCCTAAGTTTACCCATTTAAGTGTCCAAAGTCCTTTGATTATGTCTATATTTTTGATGTGAAATTTTCTAAGCTGTATTACAAACTTCCCAGACTTTTTCTGATACGTATTCTACATATAATTGAACCTTTTCTGGGTTACTTGATATAAATATTAATTTATTTTCCTATATTAAAATTTCCTGATGATTTCTAAGGTTTTTAAGAGGAATAGAGCTGTTGGTCATCTACACTATGGCCCCAGATTGCTATTGATTTATTCTTTAATTCATTTATTCACTCATTTATTTATTCTAGTCTCCAATGCAAATTATGTTTGTTGCTGCCATTGTGCCTTACTCAGATAGTAATTTGGTAATTTGTACCTTCTAAATCATGTGACCAACACCTTTTGGAATTATGTCTAAAGTAAGAGTAAATAAGCCTTAAATTAGGGCACATAAGAAAAGTATATGAGCTTCTTGTACATTAACGGGAAGCTTCTCTGTTGGCTGCCCTGAGACTCCCCCCACCCCTAGTTGCTTCTTTATTCTCAGGAAAAGTGGCTTTTAGATAAGTGAGATATTACCTCCCTACCCTTCTACCCCTAAATCTTAGAGTATTTTGTTTGTTTGTTCTAATGTGATTTTTGTCTAATTAGACCCTATATGCAGCTAAGTTAGTGACTTATTCTTAATGTTCTTGGCTTGGCCTTTTTTTCCCAGATATGTGAGTGACTTACTTTTTAAGTAGTTTGTATCTTAAAATTCAGAATACAGTGTTTCTTATTTTAAATTTTATTCTTAGAATACAAGATTACTTCAAATCTGCTTAAGTTTTCCCATTTAATTCTTTGATTATGCACCTTTTTTTCTCTTTAAAGCTAAGATATTCCTAAAGTGGAAAACACATTAAAAATTTATTATAGCCCACATTTGGGACCTTAGAGAAAACTAACCCATTTAGTGTACTAATTTTATTATACTTTTTTGTATAGGATTTTGAAAATGTTTTATAAGAAAATAGTTATTATTACATATATGTATATATTTCAGGTATCCTGCTTGATATTCTAAAGTTACAGCAATGCTTTTATTAGATATCCTTTTAAGACAGTCTTATAATTGAGAACTTCTTTGGGAGCTTGTAAGCATACTGTATTATTTGATTGAGCATTTAGATATCTAATAAATCAAGAAAAGATCCTCCATATATCTAATAAAAGATATTTTTCTTTTGATCCATTTTCCTCAGCTATAATTCTCTTCTTCTGTTTGTCAAAAAAGAATGTATTCCCTCTATTTAAAACCGAAGTGACTTTAATATAAGTTTTATTGTATTCAAAATATCTGTTGCTTTAATCCAGGTGTAGAATATCTGCATTGTAGTTTGTCCGTATATGAATCAAGGACAGTACTGACCATTTAGAGATTAGAGATTTAAAAGTTTAAATATTTCATCTTAAAATCTAAATTGACTGAATGATTCTCAATTTCTGCAAAGTATAAGTAGAAAAAAGGTTTTCAACAGAAACTTATTTTTCATTCTTAAAGTTTAAGTATCCTAATGGTGAAGGAAACTAAACGTGGTCTGAGATCCATGTATCTGCCTCTTCAAAAAAGTTTGAAATCAATATCCCTTCTAAGAAGAGTTCTCATAACCAACCATATTTAGTAGTCCACTCTGAAATTCCTATCCTCCTAGTCTATTATTACCCACACATTTGCTCTAAGAAACTAAATTATTTGCCTTTTTAAAGTGAAAAACAAACATCTTGAATGATTCAGAAATATCTTGTTTTTGCTATCTTCTAAATTCTTTTGTTAAAATAAAGCCAATTCGTTGTTCATCTAAACTTTCTTGAATAAAACAGGGATTTAAATTACAATGTTAGATACACAATGTTTAATTCTTAATTTTCCAAAAAACATGGTTTGATGTAGTTAAAATGTCTCATTTGTTGTATTTAAAAACATTTGTCTTCACTTTATTTAGACGAGGACCTATTAAACTTGGAATGGCTAAAATTACACAAGTTGACTTTCCTCCTCGAGAAATCGTCACATATACAAAGGAAACTCAGACTCCAGTTATGGCTCAACCCAAAGAAGGTGAATATCTATCCTTAATATGATGATCATTAAATTCCCATATTGAATAAATAGATTCTTTTTTTTCTCTTTCTTTTTTGTTTTTTGGCATATTTTCTAAGGGAAACATCCTAAAACTAATGCTTTAAGGTTTCTGTATTGATGTATTTGTTTCTTAGAGTTTTAAACCTTTTTCTTTTAGAAGTTAATAAAAGTATAAACTGTATATATAGTTTTTAATTTTGTTGACATAAGCTTAAGTTTTTAATCTTCATTTTGTCATTGATATGTGATGCTTTAGAATCAGAAAAGCTTAGGAATGATCTATTTCTCGGTCACTGAGCACAATCCTTCCTAAAAGAATGTATCACACAGTAAATGAAACCATGTAAATTATTTTCTTTAGAGCATATGATATTCTGATATGCTGTCGTTGTTATCCATATTAATGAACACATCTAGACCTAATTATAAAACTTTTGCTTTTATGATTTAAGGGCTCTATTATGTTGATTTCATAAGCAGCCTTTAATTTGTGTGTAATAGAGAGATGTATACACAGACATTATATTGAATGTCAAGTCTTTTTATTCTTTTTTTTTTTAAGATTTATTTATTTATTTTAGAGAGAGAGAGAGAGAGAGGAGGAGCAGGGGCATAGGGCAAGGGAGAGAGAGAATCCTCAAGCAGTTTCCCTGCTGAATGCAGACCCTGACGTGAGGCTCGATTCCAGGACCCTGAGATCATAACCTGAGCTGAAATCAAGAGTTGGCCACTTAACTGACTGAGCCACCCAGGCACCCCAGGAGTCTTTTGATTCTTTTTTTTTTTTTTTTAAGATCTTATTTATTTATTTGACAGAGAGAGACACAGCAAGAGAGGGAACACAAGCAGGGGGAGTGGGAGAGAGGGAGAAGCAGGCTTCCCGCTGAGCAGGGAGCCCGATGTGGGGCTTGATCCCAGGACCCTGAGATTATGACCTGAGCTGAAGGAAGATGCTTAACGACTGAGCCACCCAGGCACCCCAAGTCTTTTGATTCTTAAACCAGGAGTTACCATTTTTACATTGGGGACTAATTTTTATTTTTATTTTTTTTCTTAAGATTTTATTTATTTGAGAGAGAGAGAGAGCACCATTGGAGAGAGGGGCAAAGGGAGAGGGAAAGGGAGAAGCACACTCCTCAACTGAGCAAGGAGCCCAATGTGGGGCTCGATCCCAGGACCCTGGGATCATGACCTGTGCTGAAGGCAGAAGCCTAACCGACTGAGCCACCCAGGCGCCCTGGGGACTAATTTTTAAAATCTCATCAGATAATGATTCAAGCATAAAGTTAATATGATAGTTCTTGTTTTTTCCAGTTAGGCTAATAAATTTATGTCACACATAAAAGAGATTTACGTAATAGCCCTACTACAGGTCCATAGTTCCTTACCTGAAACCTTTGAAGCCACATATGTATTTGAATTCAGAATTTGTCAGATTTTAGAAAAGTTACTAGTAAAATCTATGTACTGTAAGTAAACACTCCAGAAGCAACTTGGGCATTAATACTTTAGCAGCAGAAGATATGAGTATTCAAACTAAGTAAGATAAATAATGATTATCAATAGCTTTACCTCTAGTCATGTCAAGGTTTATCACCAAATGAGCTATGGATTTTAGAGTTGTTGATATTTTGCACTGTGGTCCAATAATAAAAATTCCTTTTAGCAGTCTGTGCATAAGGAATCTTTTTTCTCTTTGGCCAGGAAAATTTATTCTGGTTTAATTATGGAATATCAAACATTAAAACTTTGTTTATCAAATATTTAAATTAATTTATTTTAAAAATTTGAGTTTCATTACCACCTTTCTCCATTAAGGGGAATCAAAAACAATATTCATTTCAGAAAGCCCAGAAAATACAGGTAAGCAAAAAGGAGAAAAAAAAATCCTTGGAGCGCCTGGGTGGCTCAGTTGGTTAAGCATCCAACTCTTGATTTTGGCTCAAGTCATGATCTCAGGGTTGTGCGATCGAGCCCATGTCCCAGCATGGAGTCTGGTTAAGATTCTCTCTCCCTCTCTCTCTCTCTGTCCCTCCCGCACCCCCAAAAGAATCCTTGAAACCTTTAGCTGTTACCAAAGAAAATCTTTAAATTTTCATGTTTATATATACCTCAAAAGAAATTAGGATTATACCTATTTACAATCTATGTACTTTTTAACAACTCTCCTTTCCCTGTCCATTAAGGATGGAAGTGAAATAAATACCTTAAACTTTTCTGTTTACTTTCATCTTGTTCCCCAAAAAGAGTTGACATTATCATACATACTATTACACTTCAAAAAATTTGAGGAAATCAGGGTAACATTTTTATCCAGGTTCTTTTTTTTACTTGATCATGTGAATGTTCATTTCTGTGGATACATTTTTTTCATTCCTACTTGCTCCATTGATTGGTAAAATAGCTTTCACAGGAGGAAAATCCTCATCTTAACTAGAAAAAAAGTCACTGATGGTAATCATGAGACATAAGCAACTTAAACGAAAAAAAGGAAAGATGAAGTGTTGAATTAACAGTATGGAGAATACTGCAGGATTCCATAATTTCTGGAAAATAATATTTTATTAATCAGTATATTCAAGTATTTTAATGTCTGTCTTTCTGAAGCTACATTATTATATATGTTAACTCAAAAAAGTGAGCAAAATAGCCAAAATGAGGGCTCAGTGACTCATTTAAAAAATATATTAGGCTGGTTTTCTTCATCTAATAACTTGGAGATTTATTTTTAGTTATTCCATCATACTTATGCAATGCATTTTGGATTGTTTGAAATGTAAAGCATTCTGAAGCTATTTGGGGTAAGGCCTATCCTATTCAGTTTAAGTGAAGAATTCCTTTTTTTAAAAATAATTTTTTTCTAATTATTAGAGTAGTATATCATGGAGAATTTAGAAAATACAGAGAATGAAACTAGGCCACTATCTTCCATCATATACAAAAATAAATTCAAAATGGATTAAAGATTTCAATGTAAGACCTGAAACCATAAAACTCCTGGAAGAAAACATAAGCAGTAAGCTCTTTGACATCGGTCTTAGCCATACATATTTTTTTAGACCAGTTTCCTCAGGCAAGGGCACCAAAGGCTAAAATAAACAGATGGGATTACATTAAACTAAAAAGCTTTTGCGAAACCATCCACCAAACTAAAAGGCAATCTGTTGAATGGGAGAAGAACTTGGCAAATCATACACCTGAGAAGGGGTTAATATCCAGAATATATGAAGAACTTAGACAATATCAAAAAAACAACACAATTAAAAGATGGGCAGAGGATTTGAATAGATATCTTTCCAAAGAAGGCCTACAGATGGTCAATAGACACATGAAAAGATGCTCAAAATCATTAGTCATCAGGGACATGCAAGTCAAAACTATAGTGAGATATTAACCTCATACCTGTCAGATTGGGTAGTATCAAAAAGACAAAAAATAACAAGATTTGGTGATGTAGAGAAAAGGGAACCCTTGTACACTGTTAGTGGGAATGTAAATCGGCACAGCCACTCTAGAAAAGAGTATGGAGGTTCCTCAAAAAATTAAAATGGAATCACCATACAATCCAGCAATTCCACTTCTGGATATTTATCTGAAGAAAACAATCTTCGACCAATAGTTGAAGATATGGAAGCAGCCTAAGTGTCTGTAGATAGATGAATGGGTAAAGGAGATGGAATATTACTCAGACATAAAAAGAATAAAATATTGCCATGTGTGACAACATGGATGGATCTAGAGGGTATTATGCTAAGTGAAATAAGTCAGATAGAGAAAGACAAATACTGTATGTTTTCACCTGTATGTAGAGTCTAAAAAACAACCAAAAAAAAAAAAAAACCAAGCAAAACAGAAACAAGATTCATAGGTATAGGAAACAAACTCTTGGTTGTTACCAGAGAGGGGGCAGACATTGGGGGTGGGTGAAATAGGTGAAGGGGATTAAGAGGTACAGACTTCCAGTTATAAAATAAATAAGTCATGAGGATATAATGTACAGCATAAGGAATATATTCAATAATATTACAATAACTTTATATGGTGACATATAACTAGACGTATTGTTAGGGTCACTTTGTCATGTATAAAAATACCAAATCTCTATGATGTATACCTAAAACTAATAGGATATTTGTGACAATTATACTTCAACTAAAAACAGAAAGGATATAAAGGAAATGTCATGATTCCATTGTGTAATAACCACTGTTAATATTTTGTTTCCAGTTTTCTAGAATGTATTTTTTCCAAAATTCCCTGTATATATACACACATAAATATATATATACACATATGATTTTATATCCTATTTGAAATGTGCATTTTTAATTGCTTATTTTGAGATGTGTGTAAATGTTTAAATATTAACATGTAACTTACTGCCATTGAACTAATTTGAGTGTATAGCTGTATAAGACTGGCATTTTTAAAAAAATTCTTTTTCCTATTTTTATTTTGTAAGTAATTAAAAATGTGAAAGATCATGATTTGTTAGATAAGCTGATGATCCAGAAGCACAAGATAAACTCTATTCTTTCCAGTTTTAAATTATTTGGGGCAAGGCTTTTAGCATTACCAAACTTTAGCTTCTTTGCCAGATTTTCTCTGGGTATAGAGACTGTTTCTTCTTCATTGCTGTAATGCCTGCCTGGTTGAATAGTGCCTGGCATGTAGTAAGAACATAGTATTTGGCGAAGGAATTAATTGCTTTTATCTACTAAGGAGAATGATTTTGCTTACTTGTATTGTTTATTGTCATGCATTTACTCTGGAAGTAACTACTAGGAATAGGTTATTTTCAAATGTTAATGCTACAGTATAATTATTGATGAAATTGGGTGAAAAAGTATGATTAGTCTCAGTTCTTGGTTTTAATATGACTATATCATATTCTAGTCTTTATTTGCTCTTATATCCATAAATGAAACCATTATAGATTCTCCTTAAAGCCTTCTTGAGTTCCATGTTGACAAACT